AAAAATGCGTATGTATATATATATGTAAAATTAGACATACTAATATAGTTTTTGTTTTATTTTCAGTATTATATTTATTAGGTTTTACTTTTTTATCTGATGTGTAACTCATGAGAACACTTAAGCCGAATTTTAGGTTCTTATAATCATATTAGAAGCCGAAGTTTTATTTGCTTTCTTTTGCTAAACCAGATTTGGATAGAATGTTACTTTGTTTAAAGAAGAAAAAAAACATAACGCTGTTGATAATGCATATTTGAGTCTTTATTATAATATTCTCAATAAAAAGATATGCTACACAGCTTTTATGAGTTAAGCCTCCAAAAACGTTGTCATTCTAGTTTAATCTAAAATACTTATCATAAAATCTATACTACTTTATATACCTTATCCATTAAAAATAACTATATTTCTTAAAACTTTTACATCGTAAAAATATTTTAAGTAAAAACTGTACTGTAAAGAAAATACATCGTCTATCAAATACATTCCCATATAAAATGCATATCAATCTAGCTTAATAAATGAAGCCAAATACAAAAGGAATAAACTCGGATCCACTCTATTCAAGCTCGTAACCTAAGCCACTACTTAATGCTTTTAAACTATCAATCCAAAGAAACAAGTGAAGAAGAACTTCTTAAGAAAGTGATGAATGGAATATTTCCGTATCAGCCTATATATATATATATATATATATGCTTGAATACATCAGTTATACATTTAAAAGTTATTACATTGATTCAACCATGCTCATGATATATATATATACGTCTTAGAAATAAGATATTTTTTGGGGAATCGTACGTTACTTTTCAAAATATGATATCTTTAAAACAGCTAAAAGTTTTTTAAAAGCATCTACTGCCTTGTTAAGCTCGATTCCCCGTAGCAACAACTTTCCTAACAGCATTGGGTCCTCAATAATGTTAAGGTTTATTGAAGCTCTTGCGGAAAGCATTAACGTGCGTGTCAAACATAAAAAAAAACAGTTCAGTAGGATTTCCAATTTTCTTAAACGCTTTTTGTTAGACAAGAAATTAGCATTTGTTTTTTGTTTTGTTATCAACCAGTGAACGAGAAAAGACATAGAAAGCTGGTAAAAAAGAATTGTACGAATGGCTTAAAACTGCCACCGTCGATGACGTCAGTTATGGCTAAGTTGGGATAAGAAAAAGTGATCATTGTACAAGATATAATTCCAGACACATAAGGGCTTATATTATATTATACTTTCAGGCACATAAAGACTTTATATTTTATATTATAATTCCAGACACATAAAGACACTTACATTTTATATTATAATTTCAGACACATAAAGGTTCTTACATTTTATATTATAATTCCAGACACATAAAGACTCTTACATTTCATGTTATTAATTCCAGACACATAAAGACTCTTATATTTTATATTATAATTCCAGACACATAAAGACACTTACATTTTATATTATAATTTCAGACACACAAGGATTCTTACATTTCATGTTATTAATTCCAGACACATAAAGACTCTTACATTTTATATTAATAATTCCAGACACATAAAGAATGTTACATTTTATATTATAATTCCAGGTACATAAAGATTCTTACATTTTATACGATAATTCCAGACACTTAAAGATTCTTACATTTCATGTTATTAATTCCAGACACTTAAAGTTTATTACATTTCATGTTATTATCTCCAGACACATAATAACTCTTACATTTTATATTAATAATTCCAGACACATAAAGACTCTTACATTTTATATTATAATTCCAGACACTTAAAGATTCTTACATTTTATATTATAATTCCAGACACATAAAGACTCTTACATTTTATATTATAATTCCAGACACTTAAAGACTCTTACATTTTATATTAATAATTCCAGACACATAAAGATTCTTACATTTTATATTATAATTCCAGACACTTAAAGACTCTTACATTTTATATTAATAATTCCAGACACATAAAGACTCTTACATTTCATGTTATTAATTCCAGACACATAAAGACTCTTACATTTTATATTAATAATTCCAGACACATAAAGACTCTTACATTTCATGTTATTAATTCCAGACACATAAAGATTCTTACATTTCATGTTATTAATTCCAGACACATAAAGATTCTTACATTTCATGTTATTAATTCCAGACACATAAAGATTCTTACATTTCGTAATATAATTTCCTTTGCTTTCCAATGCTTACTGGAATAATCTAGGTATTTTGTGACAAAGCTGAAACTACAGTGAGATTATTTTTTGTTATTGCTATAGTTACATATATTGTAATTAGTATTATGTACTCAATAAAGTTCTTTGTCAGAGATTTAAGATGAATTGATTCCCAAAAATGTGACGTTATCCACTACTGGAGTAAGTTTTTTTATCTGTAAGTTTGTTTTGTCTTCTTTGGGCTATCTTTTGTGGCTTTAGTTTAGTTTCGCTTGTAACTGAGGGAGCATCCGAACTTTCTATTTTTATTCCTCACATTAATCACTTTTATAACAGAAATGCTGAGTATTATTACAAAGTTATTTCTGGTTAAGTGCTTGAAAGTTTTATTTTCTGTCTGGTTTCTCAATGGTGAAGCTGAGCGTTGAATAATATCTGAGGTTAAGTTATTGTACGATGTAGAAGTCTTGATTTTAAGCTTGAAGTTTAAGACAAATTAAAAATGAACATATTTTATGTATATCACTTTGTCTACGTAGACTGTATTCCTGTAAAGCACTTATTCTGTATAGTGTAAGTTTAGATAACTCGTCTCTTTAATAGATCGATAAACATCTTTTGGATAACATTCTACATCCGAATTTATAACACTTTCTCTACACAATTTGGCCTCTAACTTTTCCTACGTCTTTCATAGTTTACTGAATGAATCAAAATCAGGTGAAAAGTGTTGAATCTAGCCTAGAAAAAACAAAATTGCACTTATAATCTCACGGGTTTGTCTTTATATTATGGAGAAAGAAATGGAATAAAATTATTGCTTGTCCCACAAGCCTATAAATACCATCCGCTATTGTGGGTTTTACTGAAAACGTCTTATACTGCCTATTTGAGCTTTTATTTACACGCAATAAATAACAATGCAGCAAATTACTGCCACACATTTATATATATAAATGTCAGAGAACCAGATATTAACGTATAACTCTCAAAGCATGTTAGGATGTACTCGTAGACAGGTTTTGGTGTTTAAGTCAGGATACGGAAGTTACAATAAACATAAGTTATTGTGTTATTGTTGTTCCCAGTCCTGTTCATAAAAATGTAAACGTTATAACGACTAGAGGAAATTGTTTCGTGAATTTTCTCCCTGAGATTAAATCCTGGCTGTTCTCGTGAAAGCACAAATAATTGGAGTTGCCTGCAGAGAACAGATGGTCAGTTATCAAAAATATCAAAGTCACAACAGGATCCCTAACTTACAATACAGATTCGAACAAAATATTCATTGTTAATCCTTCTAGGTTAAGGAAAGATGAAAAAGTTTGTACAGAGTTTTGGGTGGATGTGAAAATCAATTGTTTAACAAGATGAAAACGTTCTGTTATGTGAAACAAACTCTGGAACAATATAATAACGTTAATCAACGATAGCTTATGATCACATTTACATTTGAAGAATTATAACGAGTTATAACTTCTTATGTGGTGTGTCTTATAACAGTTCGAACATGCCCAAGTAGTTAACGTGTCGAACTATGGATGCAACGTCGTGTGAGTCATGACCCATTCCCGCCAAAAAAAAAAAAATATTTGTTTGTTTGATTTTTCTACAGTATTTTTGCAATTGAAAAAAATAAGGTAAACAAAGTTTTTAGAAAAGATCAAGGTCTCATGAATTTCAAGGTTTAGAAGAGTAAGATGAATTGCAGTTTCTTACACGTGCGTGACTTAGGAAAGTTGAGTTTTAATCCTAAAATTTCAGTTTGTACAACAGAAAAAACATTACAGATAGTTTTCACCAATAAATGCAAGCATGGTAAACCGTGGTTGAACTATTATCAAACAAACACTTAATAACAGAAATCTTTATTCTTCCCTCGTTATTAAAGTTATCTTTGTTTCTATGTATCCTAAACTACACAACTGATATCGTTTATTATCAAAATGTACAGTTCCCACATGTTTGTCATATTTACTTGTAGTCCTGAAGTTTATGCAATTTTCAGAAGATTACTTATGTTACCGCTTTCAAACAGTTTGTTTTTATTTTAGAGCAAAGCCACATTGAGCTATCTTCTGTGTCCATCTCGGAGAATCGAACCACGGATTTTTGCGTTGTAAATCCGTCAACTTACTACTGACCCATCGGAAGACCTTTCAAACAGTACATTGACATGAATGCAGCAACTCGTTTTTGAGAAGTGAAGGTCGACGGATACTGGACGACCAGTCTGAGAACTGTGGAAATAACAGTGGTAGTCCTCACTAAGTAAGATGCTGTAATTAGGTTCTTTTACATTTTCATATGAGTATACAAATCTTCTCTTGCTATTGTAATTCACTGTCTTATAAATAATCGTTTAGGTTTTATATCTCTTTGTTATTTCGATTTACGAATATCCTTCGTCAGAAAGGGCTGTGCCATAATCCCCTAGTGATGAGGTTTTCGTTGCGGCATTGCAATGTCGGAAGTTCTGGAATTTGCTTTAAGCCCAAGACATTATTGTTAAACTAGCAGAGACCCGCAAAACATTTGTAACCAAATTAGTATTATTATTGCAACAGTACTTCTCCAATTACAGGATTTCTAGAATCTGCTAAATTAGGGACGGCTAGCGCAGATAGCCTTCGTGTAGCTTTGCGCGAAATTCAAAAATAAACAATCTTTTGTTATATGGGATAATTATTATACTACTTTTAATAGAGCTATAAAACATGGAACCACTATCCAAACTTCCGAAATTATTACAGAGCCAAAGTAAATAATTTATTTTGAATTGTAAGTATCTTTAAATAGAAGTACAGAGTAAAATTATTTATTATTAATCAAAAGTTCTACATTACATTACACACACAGATATATGTATAGATATTACCATAGGATATTTTATTCTGTTATAATTCTAAAGTTTCCCCAGGTTTTAGTAATGTTAGGAACTATGCTGAAGACAAAATTTCTGCATCATTATCCAAAGTCCGATTTGGCCAAGTATTTGAAAATACACAACGACTATTTTTTCCATTTATAAATTCCACTTTCTTTTAAGATTATTTCAAGTCAACAACTAAAGTTTCTGAATGCGAATTTACTTCGTTCATAAATAAGAGAGTTTAATAAAATTCTTTAAACTTATGCCTTCATCCTTCAAGATGTATCGCAAGACGTTTTAATCTGCTTTCATTTTTATGCGTTATTGCGAATCCAATAAAAAGGTTCAGTGACGATTGTTGTGATTAAAAAGCAATACCCTAAAGTGCTTTTTTGTGAAAGAGCCTAAAAATTTGTCATTGATCCGTTTAACTTCTAGGAAAGAAAGAAACAAAACTTGTTTGGCAGAAGTGATCCGGCCTGACGGTCTGATGTTATAGTGATTCTTTACTATTTTTATGAAAATTTTGAAAGAATGACTTTCCACATTTCCTTCATTTTGAGACTACTTACACTTACCGCAAGAATCTGGCTAGATGGAAGCTTTCAAAAACATACAAACAAAAGAAAGAGAATTAACGTCGTTTTACTCACGTGATAATATTTATCATTACATACGTTTTCACTCTCTTTACAATAATCAGTTTACTACTGACTTTTCGAACCTTGAACTAATGTGTTTTAATTACACTAGTCAAAAACGTTTCTTGATTTTTTTTGTTGACAGAACTTCGAAAGAAAAATAAGTGAATATTGTGAGTTTGATGAAATGACATTACAGAAAGTGTGTGATCATTTTGTACATTTCTTTTGTTTTTCAGTAGGTAATAGATGCAGCAAAAACGAAAAAACAAACAAAAACCTGTGATTATGTGAAAAAATACATTTTTTAAAAACAAATTACAAAAATACAAAAACATGCGTCTTGTTAGGGTTTTTTACTAACTAAGAACTAAATGAAATCTAGTAGCAGGGGAAAAATTTAATTGAAAAAAAACGTGAAAATGAAACATGTAATTGAAAAGTAGTCCAATGACATGTGATTTTTTTTTCTTGTATAAAATCCACGTTTTTCTTAAATATCGTAAACTACCACGGAAACACCACTTCATATTATGGCTCGTGGGTGGCTCAGTTATCATGAGTTATTTGAAGTTATTTAATCAGACCTATTTAAAATTAAGGCCACAAGGATACCTTCTCTGTGAGGAGTCGTTTGTTTCAAGCTCTTTTTTATAGCCTCCAACCTCGAAAAGTAACAAAATTCCGTAAGCCTATTATATCGACCTTATCAAAGCAAATCTCTGTTCTTTGTGTTAATTAAAGGTACAAAAGTGTAATGCCACTACGTTATCTAAACTCAGCAATACACCTTGCATTGTACTAACCCTTATTCTCCCTGAAACTCTTCTTATGTACAGTTTATCTAACGTAACCTGCAGTTAATATAACTCTTAACGTTCCATCTAAAAGCCAAGCCTTTTACAAAAGAACATTTTTGTATTCACTAAACAACATAATATCAACTGTTATATAAAAAGCAGTTTTTCTGTTAGCCCAGATATTAAATCTTAATATTATATTGTATTTTGATTATGCAATCCTAAAACAATTCGAAAGAAACCAGTCTTTATAATCTTAACAAAAATTTGTTCTGTTTCACAGTAACAGTGCCTTTTTACTAGAAAACAGATGAACAGGCTTTCAAATAAAGAGTATTTAAGCGTAAAAAAAATTATAGCAAAGAAAAAATAATGCGTGAAATTAATAAATTATTTGGCCAGAAGGAAAATTCTTTTGTGGCTTGCTTTAGTAATGTAGTATATAACTTTTAGCAATCCCTAATAAAACAGAATAACTTATAAAACAGGACAGTACAATAACGATGATGACGTCAGCAATACGGGGGAGAAAGTTATACAATATTACAATTGAAAGTAAGAAGTTCAGTTCAAATACACCAAATAACTATAGTTAACAAGTTGTTTGAGTTTAAAAGCATTTACGCTGTCGGTATTGTTTGCATATACGGATGGTATAAATAAAAAGATATTTGACTTTTATATTTAGGGCAGCGTTGCTAAGGTTATTTGTCACCGTTCCTAATTATTAACTAACTGACTGGAGGGAAGGCAGCCAGTCAGAAACACCTTACCACCCACACTATGGGATTGAGTGACACTATTATGATCCATCCACAGCTTAAAACCTGGAAAACATTGTGGGGTATCACACAGATTTGAACTCAGCTCGCTACCTCTACAGCTCTACCACAGGGCCAACTCGAGCCTCGAAAGAAAACCAAAACAGTTTTTATATTTTATTTTTCTTGTACACATATATTTTCATATTTTTTAAGTATTCATTCTCACACAAATATCAGTGAGAATATATATTTAATTTTTTCTATCATCACTAAATAACTAAGGCTATCGACGGAATCATTTCATAAATAAGAAAACAATGTAGGTTTGTAGTAGTCAGTATTAATTTTTTTCATATAAATGATGTTACTTCTTTTTATTTCATTTGACTGTTGCAGAATACACGAAAAAAGATAGTAGTAATTTCAAGATGTTTGCTGTTGTGTTCCTTGTCTTACTGACAGTGACAACTCGCAGCTTATCCTACAGTGATTTTTTGGAAAATGAAATCAGCAGAGAGCGGATGCAGCACGAACCGTAAGTGTAAAACATCAGATATTGTTATAGAGTAATATATAGCGTAATTTTATATCTTTTATTCATATTGTTAAATGAATAGCAGCTTTATTCCACGTTATAAAATCCTGTTTTGACATTAAAGGTGACTATAGAGTTATACTTTGTTTTGCGGAGTATCTTAACATGAACACAGTGTATACACTGACTGGCACATGTATCAGGACCTCCTTCATGTCAGTTATAGGATGGAACCCCATTCCTTGTGATAATATAATATGAATTCCGCATAGCGTAAACTGCACGAAGTGCCGGAAGGTGCTCGATTGCAGCCTAGAAGGGTCCGGCATGGCCAGGTGTTTAGGGCGCTTGACTCACAACCTGCGGGTCGCGGGTTCGAATCCCCATCCCACTAAATATGGTCGCTCTTTCAGCCGCGAGGACGTTATAATGTGACGGTTAATCTCACTGTTCGTTGGTAAAAGAGTAGCCCAAGAGTTGGCGGTGCGTGGTGATGACTATCTGCCTTCCCTCTAGTCTTTCACTGCTAAATTAGAAACGGCTAGCGCAGATAGCCTTCGTATAACTTTGCGCGAGATTCATAACACACAAACGTAGCCCAGATATATGGTGGCGGATGAATAATTTACATTTATCTCAAGATCCTCAGTTGCATTGGGATCAGGTGACTGTGCTGACCATCGAAGATAACTGAAGCCTAGATTATCCTTTTCCGAACCATTTTCGAGCAGTACAACTGCAGTGGATTGTTGCATTATCTTGTCTATATGAATGAAGATTTAACATTTTGTGGTAGGACATGATCGGTAACAATGTTTAAGAACATCCTGTTACACTGCCTCCGGTAACTTGGAATGTAGGAACAACACAAGTAGGGTCAAGTTCTTCACATCGCTTTCTCCATATTCTTTACTCTAACGTCACTACTGAAAAGGATGGAAGGAAGATACGCGACTCATCAGATCACATCACTCGCTTCCAGTTATCCAATGCCAACAGTTTGCACTCCATACACTTCTGAACCCGTGGTTTCTTTTTGACATTAAGATAAGCGAATTGAAAACTGTTTTTTGATATCTGTACAACATGGCCCCCCAGTGGCACAACGGTATGTCTGTGAACTTACAACGCTAAAAACCGTGTTTCGATACCCGTTGTGGGCAGAGCACAGATAGCCCATTGTGTAGCTTTGTGCTTAATTACAAACAAACAAACTGTACAACATTTTTGCTACGCTGCACACTGCACGGTTGAAGATGGTCGAATCCTGAACACTATTGAATGGATTTATTAATGCGGACACAATCGCAAGTCTGTTGCGTTTTATAAGCATGTTCAATTGTTTTTCTCACAGTTGCTAATCACGCTAAAAATCGGGTTTCAATACCTGTGGTGGACAGAGCACAGATAGCCAATTGTGTAGCGTTGTGTTTAACAACAATCATCCTGAACCATTCAGTTGATAAACACGGTTTTTCTAGTAGCAAAAGTATTCTTTTTTGATTGCGACTGTTTATAGACCTTGGTGCTATTAGTCAGTTAAGTTTGTTTGCTTGTTGAATTTCGCGCTAGTCGTCTCTGATTTATAAGTGATAGACTAGGCTTAGTAGAGGACAGTTAGTCTATTCCATTTACCGCCAACTAACAACGAAAAGTGGGATTGAATGTTACATCATAACGTCCTCACAACTGAAAGGGCGAGCATACTTGCTTTTAAGTCTTGCAGACTATGTTTTGTCTACATTTTCACTTTTATGGTGATCAAGCAACTTCCGAACACGTCACATGATCAGCTAATTTTTAATAAGCAAATAAACGATCTACTAGTTAATGTGTGTGTGTATTCTATTAAAATGGCCAATCAGAGTAGCTTTACGTTGTAAATCAATATTTTATATCAATGGTAAATTTGCAGATTTATAGCGCGATGTAAAATACAGGCTCAAAATCTATAATTTATAGTAGCATTCAAAATGGACAATAAATTTATAGTTTTACATCATGATGTAAAATAGCATTTCGAAACTAACGGCAAATTTACAACAGCACACCATAAAATAGAGTATAGTTTTATACTAGGCTATAAATATTTGCAGTTTTATACCATTTGATAAGTGGTATTTCAAAATAATGCCAAGTAATATTTCAAAACGAAAAGTAAGTTTATTGCTTTACAATATTTACCAGATAATTACTGTAATAGTGATTTTTGCGACACGATTAACCCCAATAATTATAAACAATAATAACACATCATAATAATAACGCATAAATGATTAAAGAATTAAAAAAGATACAAAAAAAACAAAACTCCTGACTAATTTCGATAGGACAAGCTATAACAGAATAACACTGTTCTCAGCGTCTTGTACATTCAGGTTCAGGTTTAGGTTCACTAGGCAGTAGAGAGCAAACATTATACTTCCACTTGGGTTGAATTCAAATTTCATTTCATTACTGAACATGTTTTCTTTCGTGTTAAATATTTATATCGATCCCATTGTGTTCCATTGATGCAATAATTTGAGTTCTGCTATGATTTTTGATTGATCGAAATTAATTTTGTGGTTGGTTTTGTGAATATGTAACGCTAAGACCAATTTTTCAACATCCTTGACAATAGCCTTGATGTTCCTTTACACTAACTGAAAGAGATCGTTTTGTTTGACCAATATAAGCACCATTGCAAGAAGAAGAAGTGGAATAAATACCCTGTCTGCAGTGACTTTCTGTCTTATCTTTCCTTCTTTTTAAATTTATTTGAATGTTTGTTCACTGGCATATAAATAGGTTTAATTTTATTCCAATTTAAAATAGCACGTATTTTGCTTGATATAAAGGGGTAGTAGGGTATCTTCATATAAGAACAATCTCTTAATATCTCTGCACTTATAACAAAATGAACCATTTTGTCTCATAAACGAATTTTTTATAACGTAAAGTCTGCTTAGATTTGTAATGAATCGACATTTAAGAAAATCAAAAAGGATGAAATACTAATCGTGCTAAATATGACCTTCATTTGATATCCCAAACAGACTTTATCTTCGCGTGTGTGCTTCAGACATTCTCTAGTAGGGATGTAGCTTAAAAACGAATATTTAATTTTGTCAAAGTAATGTATGGCGTTTACTCTTAATCCCAGAGTCGTCGTCTTTTGTTGAATGATATTCGGGGTTCATATGATCATCAATTAAAGATAAGATTTACAGTGTGTTAAGGCCATCTTATAGAAGTGCATTGAATATATGAAAACTGTGTAGCTTCGGCAGTTTTTTTGCTCAGCAATGCTCGAAATCTGTGTGTGTGTATATATATACATATATATATATATATTTGGCTGTACATATACAGCTTACAGGGAGTAAGTATTCTCAAAAGTTTTGTATTGACTGTCCTCCTTTTCATAATAATATACTATTCGAACTTCCAATTATTTACCTCTTTAAATTTAAAATTTTTCTATTGGAAACAACTATTAACTAATTTTCCAGTTCAAGAATCACGATAGTTGTAGCAAAATGTTAATTGAAATCAGCACTCACTAAAACCATTTTATTGGAGTTCCGTCTTCAGTTTATAAACTGTAACACTCTTTACGAGTTGTACGACAAACTCAGTATGTTCGTTCGATACAGAGGATAAGCAGTGACGTCTTCTGCCATTCTTAATGTGGTACAGAATTATCGCCTGTTCTTCTTGTTGAAACCTGAAGGGTTACAAAGTGACAAGGTTTGTCTGAATAAATAAATCCTATATCTACTTGAAATAACATGAAATAACAATTCTTCTATATTATAATTGACTGGCTTGAGATGCTAACTACTTTTCTATTAGAGATTGTGAGATAAAAATTGGGACACTTAATCAAAAGGCTCGTTAAGCGAGTAAATATACAACACAATTTAAATTTTAATGTGCGAAGCCTAACAACATATTCAGATTAACTGCAAACGCTTGATCTAGTGGAACGATGTTTTGTATATTAGTAATGCAGCAAACGTGTTTATTTTCCCTGTGAGAACTCAAGAAGGTTATAAAAAGGCAATTTATGAATAATTCAGTACTTTGAGCTTATTTATATCTTTTACTGCTAATCAGCAGACATTCTATGCAAACGAATCTTTTGTGCTTTCATATTCCGAATCGAAATGCATGAATTAAATATAAGTAGTTAAAAGACAAATGAAAAAAAAAAAAGATTTAATGCAGATTTAATATCTATTCTAGTAATTTATTTGAACTAAGATATTTTTACACCCATGCACAAAAAAAAAAAATCTCGTAATGGAAAGCATCATTATGAAAGATACAAAGTTACAAATGACGTTTATATTTTGGGTAATGTTTTCTATAGCATGATTAAGAGTAACGCTAAAATATATTAAAGTATTATTTAAAATTATGGATGCTACACTACCTCATCTTTAGGTTTATTTTCTTTAGATTCGTCTCAATAATTATGGAAGACAAAAATAAATATGAATTCTTTTCTAGCGCTTATAACTCATCATTTGGTTTATTTGTGCCTAATTTCACTAAAAGTATAAAGATTTTCTATAAGAGTTGATAACTTGTAATTGATTGTATACAAAGGTGTGTGTGTTTGTTTAAGTAGTAGCACATCATTATCAGTTTTTTAGAGATTTACCTTACTGCCCCTAATTAACGCTCTCGGGGGCGTTGCAAACTGCAAAAGGGGAGCGCTAATTAGAAACTAATTAAGTAATATGATAATACCTCTATTATAAATAAATATATCTATAATAAGTGGTAGCAAACATAGCCTATTTATTTCTAACTTTGCTATAAACATCAGTGCTCTCTATCGCAGTAAAAATATGGTAATTATTGTTTATAAGTGTCAAAAAACTCTGAAGCTGTCCTGCCATCGATCGGCACCGTCAATAAGTCTTTGAAGTTTACTGCTACTGCGAAAAAAAGGTGGGAAAATCGTGGCCTACGTGACATTTATCAGTTACCAGTATTGACTGCTGAACTATGCGACCGGGGGGGGGGGGACGTTAATTGGGAGGAATACGGTTGTTTATTTTTAACACGATATATTACGATAAGCCCTTGTCTCTCTTCTGCAGTCAGGAAAACATTAATTTTTTTCATTAGCGATAGCGTTATTACAATACGAATAAACAAGTCACATAAACATTTTGGAGTAAACAGTTTTTGAGATTATTTCCAGCTTCAAGAAGTTTTCGTTACCTTAGTTTGGTCCTCCACTGGCACAGCGGGATGTTTGCAGACTTACAACGCTAGAAACCGGGTTTCTATACCCGTGGTGGGCAGAGCACAGATAGCCCATTGTGTAGCTTTGTTCTTAACTTTAAATAAACAAACAAACCTTAGTTTTGTGTTTACAGCAACTTGATTTGATAAACAATTCATTTATACTATTGCAATATATAAAATATTGAAATGCAGTTTGGTGGTTCCTTTATTTGATATTTGAACGACATGCCTGGTGCAGAAATCAGTACAATGGCGCCCTCCCCCAGTGGCACAGCGGTATGTCTGCGGACTTACAACGCTGGAAACTGGGTTTCGATACCCGTGGTGGGCAAAGCACAGCTAGCTCATTGTATAGCTTTGTGCATAACTACAAACAAACAGTACAATGGCTCATTTAAAAAACAAAAAAACAGGGTAATTGATATTGATAAGTATTTTGTTATATTGCCCGTAGACAGTTTATTGTTGTTTGTTTTAACTTTGTAAAATGTGATTAATATCAACTTCATGGTTCATCTTTTATGTATTTGTTTTTTATTTTGAAATCAGATTATGAGATATATTAAATCAAAAATACTGTACAAATAGTAGCAACAACACAGACATATTGCAGAGATGTCGGTGTTACATCGATCATATGACATATCTTAGATTAGACACAGACTGATGAACACCGAACACAAATCCAATGTTTCAGATTTTGACAGCGAGATTTAGTTGAAAATTATCACTTTGTGGGAAATGCGGGCAATCAAAAACAAACTCTAATAGATTTAAAATAAAAGTTGCAAGTGGAAAGTATTAGTCTATATCTAGAAATAGTTATGATACCAGAAGTTGGAAATTTTTTATTATATATTATTGTCACATAATATTCAGTTGGGTCTTTCCCTGAATGAACAATCGGCAGAATGCAGCTAATGTTAAAAACTGAAATAAATGACTCACAAACAGGAATTGACACAAAGAAAAGAAGTAAGCTTTGTTTTTAAGCACAAAGCTACACAATAATGGGCTATCTGTGCTGTGCCCACCACAAGTGTCCATACCCGGCTTTTAGCGTTATAAGCCCTCAGACTTACCGCTGAGCCATTAGGGGATCAGAAGTAAATGTTTTATTTGAAAGTTGCATAAATCAATGTGCGTCACTAAATAAAAAATCAATTTCTAAGATAAATACTGCTCAAAATCTATAGTAATCGAAGAATTTGACTCGATAATGAGTTTTTAATATTCCTTTAGTTTAAAATAAAGTTCTGAAATTGGAAATTTTCTATCTGAATTGCACCTTATGCACACGTGGGTTAAATAACCAGTTCAGAATGTCATAGGATTCAGGTATAGGAAAGGCGGCCAACCAAGTTTTGAACCGAAAAAACGAGATTAGCTCTCACGCGCTCGCAGCTGAAAGTGCGGAACGTCTTCAGTGGCATCACGTCTCGAACCTTGGAACCTCCAATCCGTAGTCCGACATGCTAAATACTAGGCCACACCAGCCCAAAATTTTAGGGAAAACTTTTTAACTATAGATCTGGGTATAAATTAAAAAATACCCACCACATTTGTGTGTGCGTATGAGTCTACACTATATATTGTAAATGTAAACTTATAATCCTACTAAACTTATAAAAGACACAAACACACACACATACATACAAGTTTAGAAAACGATACACTGAATAACAAATAAAAGTTTTCCGTGGAAATTTCAGTTTAGTGTCGTATTTACTGTACAAAGTTTCATATTTTAACGGAGTAAATGTACACTCATGTGTGTGTTTGTTTATGTGAATTATAAAAGAGGCTGAGGATAAACTTAGAATCGTATTTTTTAATTCTACATTACAGTAGTTTTCGTAAAATACGGGAGTCGATTTTGTTATGAGCACTAATCTTGTGAGAAGCACATTTTTTAATCGCAATTGTAATTTGCAGTAATGGTTATCACTTGAAATAATGCCTTCCCAAGAACGATCACCGTAGCTAAACAAATTCAACCTTGGACATAGTTTCCTCAATAAGTTGTTTTCAAGAAAGATCACCGTAGCAGTACAAACTCAATTTTTT